GAAAAGAAAGAAAAGAGGAGAAAATGTAAACGATTATTTTTACAAATAAAATTTTTATTAAACTCTAAATATCTATAAAGCTTTTTAAGAAAAAAAAAAAAGAAAAAGAAGAATAAAATTATTACTGTAATTAAATAAACATCAAAGATCTGTTTAATTCTATATTACTATGTAAAAATAACGAGCAAAAAAATTGGTGTGTAGCCGTTAACGTCCGTAGCCAACGTTACAACAACGACCCTGGTTTTGCTCTGTTTACTAATCCTCCACCTTATCATCACATATGGTTCAGTAAACCGTTAAACTGCTGCTATTTTTGCCGGTGATCGTCGTTCGAATCGTTGATGTTACTGAGTTTGCTATCCATCCAACTATTTGGGCTAGAAACCGTGGCAGAATGCTAAACAATTATTACAGGGGCCTGTGGCGTAACATTTTTTTCGTTCATCGTTGTTTTTGGGGTGAGGTGGGGATTAGGGGAGAGAGGGAGTTATTTGAAATATAAAGTTTCCACTTGAAATCTGTTATATTTGGCTGATTGTTTACAGTCATTTAAACAGAGGAAGTTAGGTGAAAGTTTATTGTATATTATTATTTATTTTTTGTTTTGTTTTTGGGAATTGAGAGAAAATGGGTTATATATTAATAAAATTCCGTGAAACTAAGTCGAATTTGCATACATTTTTTTTCAGTACTATTTCAGTCAAATGATGTTGTCGTTTGTGTAAATGTTCCATTTGTAATATGGTCGTAATTTAGAGTTATATGCATGAAGTCACTATTTATTTATTTATGTGATATATTTACATGTACCATAGGGTTTTTTTTCTTTTATGACATTTTATGGACCAAAACAATGAAAAGAAAGAGAAACCGAAAAGATCATTGACAACAAAATTCGTTGTATTTAGTTGGTCAGAAACTACGGAAATTTAAACGACAACAAAAAAATTTCTCTTCTACCTTATAACTTCATTTTAATTTTTTTCTGTTTTTGTTTTCTATCTATTTAACTATTTCACTTTTTTTTGGCACTTCAGATTTGTACCAATGGTCTTTGACTGCACAGGGAAGGTATCTAAAAGAAAAAAATAGCTGCTCAATCGGTCATATGCTGTAACCAATTTTCTAAGGTGTGAAAATTTTGGATGGCCTAATAAACAGTTGTCATACCAATCCGTGCAATGTTCCCGAACCCCAATTACAGTACTGTTTACGTATATTTAAGCATTCCGAGGAGGAAAAATGTTCTGATCATTTTGTCAATGTCATAAGGTTTACCGATGCTAAAACAGTGGCAGAGTTTGAAAATTCGTTAACGACAACTATTAACCATTTGTTGTCATTGAACTTGTAATTTTTGTATTTATCATTACTCATTTGTTTCGGAAACTTTTTCGAAGTATCTTTTATTTACGTTGATGCTGAGAACTGAATACAGCAAAAGTATAGAAGTTTTTCTGGAGAATTGCACATTTACTAATGCAATTATATGGCGTTGTTGCCAAGTTCATGTTTTTGTTGTAAAAATTTGCAGCAATAGTTGAAACATAAAAAACATTACAAAATTTTGGTTTCGGATTAAGGAATAAATGCTTTACGGTAGACATTTTTTTTTTTTGGCTAGAATCTGTACCAAATAGGTAAGGTATATGATTTCAAATATCCGAGTTATGGTTGTTGATGAATTTGAGGTCCAAAGTAGTAAAAGCAATGGCAATCAGACAGATATTAGACGGCGACGACCATAAGATTACTAATCTGATGCAATACGTTTTATTCTCTCTGTTTGTTAATTCCATTCGAACATCAAGTTTTACTAGTTTATTGAAAGAAATATCAAAAAAAAAAAA